TGCATGCCAGATCAGCCCTTGCTGGCGTCTCACTCACGCCGGCTCACTGCCCGCCTCTGGCTGGGCCCTTTAACATCAGTGTCTGGGGCCTGCCTCCAGCAGGAGCTGGGCAGGGCCAGGGGACTGTGGCCGGGCTGCTGGCTGCTGGCTGCAATGTGCCGGGCTGGGTGGGCAGGGCAGTGTCTATCACCATGCTGCGTTTGCAAGGCCTCACGTCCAAGCCTGGCAGCATCTAGCCAGTGGCCTCTGGCCCTCTGGCCCCCCCAGTCCCTGGCCCCAAGGCAGCAAAGAGATTCAGCCCCACTGATGTCCAGGGGTTTAAGTACCGATTGGGCTAGAGGGGAACTGAGGGGGGTCACAACATTGGGGCCCCAGTACAGGCCGTGGGGTGGGGTCTCAGCACTGTGCAAGGCCGGCTGCTCACTGCGGGGTATCGGCCCTCGCCCCTCTGTTCCTCCAGGATTCGATTTGTAGGGGAGGGAGCCTGGGAAATTGGCCCTTGTTACCCCCACGTGATCTGAAATACCAGCTCTCCGTGTACGCGTCTGCACACCAGCGCTCACTGGCATCGTGCTTCCTCCATCCACGCTCTGCGTTGCAACGGGCTATTCACCACGGGCTGTCCCCAGTCGGCCATGGCTTGTGACTCACCCTGTGCTCCCAAGGGCCTGATCCTGCACCTGCAGCTCACGGCCATTGAAGCAGGGCTGGGCCCTTGGCTTGCAGCCCAGGGTCAGTGGTAGCCAGGGACTGGCTGCGCCTCAAGTGTCCGGACAGAGGCAGGTCATGTTTAACTGATGCAATCAACAGTTTGGTATTTTGGTCCGTGCTCCTGACACTATAATCAATCACTGCTGCCCTGGGGACCAGGGCTCCAGGCTGTGGCAGGCATGCGTGAGGCCAGGACAGCTGTAGCCCGGGTTGGTACCTTTGGAAAAAGCTTTCAGAAGTAAATCTGAGCCGTTCTTATCCAGCCCTGCTGCAACCCGCTGAACGTCTCAATGCTGCATGAGAGACGTTTTCCTCCGCTCTGCGGCTTGGTAGCTGTATTGCGTCTCCTGAGAGCAGGGCTGCGCCTTGCAGAACTGCGGCCACAGGAGGACTGGCACAGGGTAACGATGCACCTGGACAGAGCCCCGCTGGGCAAGGTGCTGCCCAGACCATGCTGAGAGCTGCTGGGCCCCATGGAGCTCGCAAGCCACAGGGCTGGAGAAAAAGACTCAGACCCATTTTACAAACCCAGGGCACACAGGGAGTCTGTGGTAGAGGTGGGAAGTGAACTGAGACCTCCAGGGCTTTTGCCCACAAGTGAAAAAGCTGCCAGACCTTCTCCAGCGTGTGTGACTGTCGCCCCCCAGTGGTGGCCGCCCAGGGAGGGTGGGAGCTATGGCACTGGGTGGTGCTAGACAAGGATCAGGGCCCGTTGTGCTCGGGACTGTGCCAATCAGTAACACAAACAGGAAGCTTGGGATGTCGGTAATGGGCTATGCCCGGGGAGCTGGCATCAGGGGATCTGCGTTCCAGGCCCAGCTCTGACAACGTCTCATTCTGTGACCTTAGCCGACTCTTTTAAAGTTGCCATGTGCCTCGGTATCCCCGTCTCTGAAATGGGGCTAATACTGATCCACTTCAGGGGGAATAACCCGCTACCCACTTGTGACGGGGGCGTGCAAGGTGGGAGGCTGTGAAACTGTTCAGTATTTTTGTCGTGGCAGGGAGGGTGGTGGGAAAATAGCAAATAGGGGGGGTCTGGAAAATTGCCCAAGGGAGATGGGTAGGTGAATGCACTAAAGCTGCTCAGGTAGAGATGGGGGCGAGCGAGTCCAGTTCTCTGCCTTCAGTGAGCCACCAGCAAAGCCTCCCTCGGGGCTAGCAGCCGGCACCTCGGCCCACTCACTGGCAGCTCCATGCTGGGGGGCCTGTCCTGGACTTTCCTCCAGCCCAGCGCAGGGCCGGTCCCCTTCCCAGCCGGGGCACGCTCCCTGCAGTGATGGCACCCGAATTCCTTTGGCCTTGGCAGCGCCCCAGTGAAATCCATCCCCTGGCACACTTGTTAAACCCGGGCTCTCCTCACCCCAGGGCTATTTATACAGGCCAGCATTCTTCCTGGGGCTCTCAGTCCCTCCTGGCAGGCCCAACGTCGGCATTTCTAACGAAAAGAATCCAACAGCCTGGCTTCCAACGCCCATCCCTGCCTCTGCACCGCCCCAGGCCTGGGCAGCCACTGACATTGGCCCCCTCTGAAGGCCTGTGGCTGGGTGGGGGGGGGGACCAGGCCGTAGGGCTGCACGGTCGTCCCAGCTACGAGATGAGCGCACACCCGGCCTCCCCACTGGACAACCCCCCCAGGGTCTAAGTGCCGGGTGCCGATCTCATGGCGTTGAGCTCTTGTGTCTGCCAGGGGCTGGTGGAGCCGGGCCAGTGTCTCTGCTCGGGGTGGGGGAAACGGCTCAGCCGTAGTGAACGCAAAGAGAGCCTGATGCTGGCCACAGCCAGACCCCACGGCTCTTCTAGGTCCCCAGCACACTGAGGCCCACTTTTCCATTGCCCTGCATCATGTGCCGTTATCTGGGCCTGTGCAAAGTGGCAGCAGCTCACACCCACCCTGCACTAGTGTAAATAATCCAAGGGGCACAGCAGGGCAACCGAGAATCAGACTCCGGGTCCCCTAACGCCTGGTGTGGACTGTGCCGCATTGGAAAGGCCAGCTGGCTACACTGCCCCTGCAGGGGCCCCATCTCCGATCCTACAGGCATCCCATCCTGTGGGCCCAGGTGCTCTCTGACCCCTTGGGAGCTGTGTCCAAAGCTCGCTCATATATACTCCAGCCAAGTTCTTCCTCTCTGCAACAGCGCCCTCGGCAGCTTGCAGGAGATGCTCGTGCTCTAAGAACATAACTCTGCAAGCAACCACCCTTTGAAACTGGCTCCTTCCACTGAATGATCTTAACGCTCTTGAGAAATACCATCCAGTTATTGCTGGTCCTGTGGGGAAACTGAGGCACACAGTGTGGCAAATCGATTTGCCATAGGTCCTACAAGTCCCTGGGCAAGGCAGAAGGAGAATGCGAGGCTCCTGGCTCCAGTTCTCCCTGTGCTAATGAGTGGGCCCCACTCCCAGTCCTGGGCCTAGAACCCAGGAGGTCTGACTCCCAGGCTGCGGTTTATCCACAGGCTCAACCTTCCTCCTCAGTGTAAAAAATAAAAATAAAAAGTGACCCCAGTGTAAGGACACGGTAGCAAGGGAGGAAGGGCGAGTCTGGGGCCAGCACCCAACCATGACGTCCCTTCCCCAGATCACACCCTCAGACAGAGCTTCACCGCGGGAGGGGAGGGCTCCCGTCGGAATGACCTCTCTGACGGGCAGCCCGGAGCTCAGCGCCAGGAATAGCCCGTTCAGGCACCACGTATAAACAGCCCAGCAGGACAGCGATAGCATACGCTCTTACCGGTGCTATTTGCCCAACAGAGCAAGTGAGAGATGACACCCAGTTTGAGGCGGACCGGGGAGAATATTTGACACGATACCAGGGCTGTCCCGGCTCAGACGCACAGCGCCTCTCTCCCCCTGCACTGTGCTAGGGGGAGAGAGAATGGACTCAGCAAAGGCCTGACCCCAGGCAAAGCTCCCACTGGTTTCAGTAGGACTCCTGCTTGAGTGAGGCCTGCACAATCCAGCCCCAGGTAGAAAGAAACTTGAGTCCCTCCTCCTCCTAAGGGCAGCTTTGTAAAAGCCTGGTTTGGATGCAAATGTAGGAGTTTGCACTGCAAGTAAGAAACTCTTCTGTAGTGTTTAAATCATGTGTAAGCCTGCTAGGGGTGCTCTCTGTGTTGTTGAAGCCCCAGAGCAGCAGCATGTATGGGGTTGGGTGTGACAGGTTTAGTGAGCCTGGTTGCTTGGGATCGACTGTGGCAGTGGGCTTTCTTCACGGCGTTGTTTAAAGAGCAAAAGACAGAACATCTCCCTCTAAAAATTAAGCTACCTTGTAATTTTGCAAACAGTTTGTGCTTTTTTTCCTTGGAGCGGGTGGTCGTCTGAGGCCCTGTATAAATAACGTTCAGGGTTGCTAATGCTGGCAATATTTGGTGTATTTCCTACAGCCCCAGGTCCTGGACTCATGGGATTCTCAGCTAGGGTTGCCAAATTTCTAATTGCACAAAACCAAACACCCTAGACCCTCCCCTTCTCCGAGACCCCAACCCCTTCCCCAGGTTTGCAGAGAAAAAGCAGGGCATGTGACCCAGGTAGGGTTGCCAACCCTCCAGGATTGCCCCGGGGTCTCCAGGAATTCATGCATCCGATGACGTGAGCTGTAGCTCAGGAAAGCTTATGCTCAGATAAATTTGTTAGTCTCTGAGGTGCCACAAGTCCTCCTGTTCTTTTTGTGGATACAGACTAGCAGGGCTGCGACTCTGAAACCAGGAATGAAAGATTATGTCATGTGAGGAAACCTCCAGGAACACACAGCCCGAGTCCCCAGTGCAGATACCGGGAGCCAAAGGAGCAGAAACCCAGCATTGTTCTCAAAACCTCCTGCTCTCCAGGCCAGACTGGGGAATGTCTGAGTCTGACCCAGGCCTGTGAGGGAGGCTGCAAGCGCCAGCCCCGTGCAAACCATGTTGACGCCCCCCCCAGCACACGTAGGGATGGGAGAGAAACCCACGTGGAGGGGCTGGGCTCTGCACACCTTTGCAGCTGCAGTAACGCCGCCCTGGGAGTCCGCCAAGCCAGGGGGAAGCCGAGAGCCAATGCCGCCTCCCGCCCGAGGAAGTGGGGCGCTCTTTGATTGGTCTTTCTTTCGGAACGAACCAAGTCATCGTTGGAGAGGGGGGGATTCTTTAACACGTTTGTTTTGTTTGGGGGGGTTCGAAAACAAAAAAGAAACAGAAACAAATGCTGTATTCCCACTCTTTCAAGTGATTGTGCGTAGAAAAAGTGGGGACTTGGTGGGGATTCAGAGAAAGGCCGATGGTTTGCCCCCCATCTCAGATGGTCTATTCCACGCTCCCCGTTCCCTGGGATGGGACGTTCCAAGGTCTCGCCTCCCCCCTGTGCCGGGCGGCGATGGTTCATTCCGGGCGAAGGCGGGGCCGCGGCCAGCTTCGGAGGCAGGTGAGTCGGGGGGAGGCAGGTGCCCCCCCGGTCCCCCAACTGCCCCCGCGCTGCGGCCGGGCCCCCCATCTGGCCCCCCCGGACCGGCCGCTCCCCTCCCCCCATCTCCCGCCCCCCCCCGCTCCGGCCGGGCCCCCCCCCGTCTCCCCTTCCCCCCCCCGGACCGGCCGCTCCCCTCCCCCCATCTCCCGCCCCCCCCCGCTCCGGCCGGGCCCCCCCCCGTCTCCCCTTCCCCCCCCCGGACCGGCCGCTCCCCTCCCCCCATCTCCCGCCCCCCCCCGCTCCGGCCGGGCCCCCCGTCTCCCCTTCCCCCCCCGGACCGGCCGCTCCCCTCCCCCATCTCCCGCCCCCCGCTCCGGCCGGGCCCCCCCGTCTCCCCTTCCCCCCCCGGACCGGCCGCTCCCCTCCCCCATCTCCCGCCCCCCCGCTCCGGCCGGGCCCCCCCCCGTCTCCCCTTCCCCCCCCGACCGGCCGCCCCCTCCCCCCATCTCCCGCCCCCCCGTCTCCCCTTCCCCCCCGACCGCCCCCCCCCCCCATCTCCCCCCCCCCCGTCTCCCCTTCCCCCCGGACCGGCCGCCCCCTCCCCCATCTCCCCCCCCCCCGCTGGCCCCCCTTCCCCCGACTCCCCCCCGGACCGGCCGCCCCCTCCCCCCATCTCCCGCCCCCCCTCCGGCCGGCCCCCCGTCTCCCCTTCCCCCCCCGACCGCCGCTCCCCTCCCCCCATCTCCCGCCCCCCCCCCTCCGGCCGGGCCCCCCTTCCCCCGACTCCCCCCGGACCGGCCGCTCCCCCTCCCCCATCTCCCGCCCCCCCGCTCCGGCCGGGCCCCCCGTCTCCCCTTCCCCCCGGACCGGCCGCTCCCCTCCCCCATCTCCCGCCCCCCCGCTCCGGCCGGCCCCCCGTCTCCCCTTCCCCCCGGACCGCCGCTCTCCTCCCCCCATCTCCCCCCCCCCTCCGGCCGGGCCCCCCGTCTCCCCCCTCCCCCCACCCCCCTCCTCCCCCCATCTCCCCCCCCCCCTCCCCGGGCCCCCCGTCTCCCCTTCCCCCCCGGACCCCCTCCCTCTCCCGTCCCCCCCCCCGCCGGGCCCCCCGCCCCCTCCCCCCCCGCCGCCCCCCCTCCCCCTCTCCCCCCCTCCCGCTCCGGCCGGGCCCCCCTTCCCCCGACTCCCCCCGACCGCCGCTCCCCTCCCCCCTCTCCCCCCCCCGCTCCGGCCGGGCCCCCCGTCTCCCCTTCCCCCCCCGGACCGCCCCCCCTCCCCCCATCTCCCCCCCCCCTCTCCGCCCCCCTCTCCCCTTCCCCCCCCGACCGGCCGCCCCCTCCCCCATCTCCCCCCCCCCTCCCCGGGCCCCCCTTCCCCCTCCCCCGGACCGCCGCCCCCTCCTCCCATCTCCCCCCCCCCCGCCGGGCCCCCCCTCCCCCTTCCCCCCGACCGCCGCCCCCTCCCCCCATCCCCCCCCCCCTCCGGCCGGGCCCCCCCGTCTCCCCTTCCCCCCCGGACCGGCCGCTCCCCTCCCCCCATCTCCCGCCCCCCCGCTCCGGCCGGGCCCCCCCCGTCTCCCCTTCCCCCCTGGACCGGCCGGGCCCCCCAATCTCCCGCCCCCCCGCTCCGGCCGGGCCCCCCCGTCTCCCCTTCCCCCCCTGGACCGGCCGGGCCCCCCCAATCTCCCGCCCCCTCGGATCCGGGGCCCTGTGAGTGGGATCCTGTGACATAGTCGCCTCCTGGGGGAAGCCAGGGCCCGGGCGCCTGGGTTCGCGGGGATCCCCCTCCTGAGCAGGAGTCGGCGTCAGTGAGCTGCTCCGGCTGGTCTGCAGCGGGGGTGAGGGTCCCGTGGTGACACTGGGAGGAGATGGGGGGGGTGTTTCCCACCGTGACGTGGGAGCACCCCGAAGCGATCACACTGCCCATCTCAGCCCCGTCCGGCCGCCCCAGGATCTCCGAGCGCTGGGTAGACACCGCTGGACTCATTCTCCCGGTCTGCACGAGCCTGTCGTGGGGTGGGGAAACTGAGGCACGCACGGGCGAAGGGCCGTCTCCCTGGTGTCATAAGCCAGGGAGCAAACCTAGCAATATTCTGGTGTGGATCATTGACCTGTAGCAGAGGAGCGAGCCGGAGGGGGAGGGGTTTTCTTCCCGTTTCCTGGCCCAGTTCTCTCTCCTCCTTCCCGGGTCAATACACTCTGGACCTGCTGTGCATTACAGCTGTACCTGAGACCTAGCCAGGGCCTAAATCGCCATTCCTGTCCACACCCATCCCAGCAGAGTCCCCTGGACACCCGCGGGCCGCCCCGTCTGTCTAGCGCACCTTGGTTGGCTCTGCCCCAGCTAGTGGATCGCTCGTCAGCTGTCACCGCTGCTGAAAAGGGGACGCAGTTTCCTATAACCCTGATGTAAAGACTCGTTCTCTTGCTAATGCAGACACGGGGTGCATTAAACAGGGTGTTTTTTCAAAAGGCTTCTGTCTGGCTCTGTGTGTCGTCGCCAGTCTGTGGACACCTCACGAGCTGGTTGTTAAAACTGACTTTCCTGGTACTAGCTGAGCCAGGTTAATGAAATCATCTTTCTGGGAGGGGCGGTAACACGGAATATTGTTTGGTCTGGAGTACCCAGGGCCTCTCAAATCTCCTCCCCCCATTTTATAAATAAGAGAAGGGTGTTTGTGTCACCTTAAATCAGAATCGCTAGAGGGCAGTCTCTGCTGTCATTACAGACAGACTTCTTTTACACGCATGGTTGTGAGCCTGATTGCTTTGGCTTTTCACAGCAGAAATAGCCTCCCAATCCCCAGGTCCCCCGGAGGTTTAACGTCAAGCTGACACATGGCTGTCTGCGGACACATCTCCGTAGATCTCCGCAAAGTTTTGCAAGACTTGGAAGATCCCCAGGTTGTTTCGGGTGGCACCCTGGGCATGTGAGACCAAAGGACGGGAACGGTTATTCGTTATCACGGTCCGTTGCCATTCGTTATCGCGGTCCGTTGCCATTCATTTAGCCCCCTGACCTGCGGGGTTATAATACTTTCTACAAAAAAGAAGTATTCCCCCACGGTAAAAATATTCTTTACGAGAATAACTGCAAAAATACGTGTTCAAGCAGCCATCCCGAGGCACTGTGTTGTAGTGGTTAAAGCAAGGGCTCAATTTATTTAGAGCTTTTCTCCTTTCTTGCTATGTGAGCCTGAGTACATCACATCCTTGTGCCTCAGTTACCCTCATCCCCATTTCACATGTGGGGAAATTGCCTAGCACCCAGTGGGGTTGGGAGGTTTAGTTCATGGTTGCAGAGCATGCCGAGATCCTCTGATGAAAGGTGTAAGTTCCAACGAAAGGGGAAAATGTAGTATTCCCTCTCTCAAGAGTCAGCCTGTGCCGTGCGCTGTCTGGCTGGGGGCAAGGAAGGGTGAGGGTTACCTGCACATTGCAGAGCAGTGAGCTGAGGAACAGGGAGGCCGGGCCTTGCCCCTGGCCACCAAGCAAATCTGTGGCTGAGTCCGGAATGGAACTCGGATCACGTGATTGCTGGGGCCCTGCTTGCACCAACAATTGACACACCCTGCTTGTGAGCAAATGACTGCCCTGGCTGTTCTGCTCTGGTGACAGTCAGTGACATGGCTTTGCCTGGACATCTCGACAGAGCCCTGCCGTGCTGGAGCAGCACGCTGAGAACTGTTCCTGCCCAGAAGAGTTCGCTCTCTCCATATGGGCAGGAGAACAGGAGGGTTCTTCTCTCCATTTACAGCTGGGGAAGTGGGGCACGGGGAGGCAAAGTGACTTGGCCAAGGTCCCACAGTTGGTGGCAGAGCTGAGAACTTGATCCCAGATTTCCCAAGTCCCAGGCCGATGCCATAACCCCAGTCCCACCCTCCTCTCCGCTTCTGCGGTCTGTCCCACAGTCACAGCATGCTGGCTTGTTGCTTGGTTACAGGGAGAGTTCTGCTTTGCCGTCCCCAGCTGGAAGCACCGTGCCCGCAGGCGCAGACTGCCATGAACTGTCGCGCTGAGGTGCTGGAGGTGTCGGTGGAAGGCCGCCAGATCGAGGAGGCCATGCTTGCCGTGCTCCACACCATCCTCCTCCACCGCAGCACCGGCAAGTTCCACTACAAGAAGGAGGGGACCTACTCCATCGGGACGGTGGGGACGCAGGACGTCGACTGCGACTTCATTGACTTCACCTACGCCAGGGTCTCCTCCGAGGAGCTGGACCGAGCGCTGAGAAAGGCCATTGGGGAATTCAAGGTAAAAAGCTTGGAGCCAGTCACCTTGGCTGACTTCTCAGAGGATGTGTGGACCAGAAATTCCAGCAGGGGCTGGTGGAGCTGCAAGCCCTTAGCCCCGCTATGAAGCGGGCCCAGGGCATTGAAAGCAAGGTACTCCGCATAAGAGGTCTTGGCCTTCACTGCACGGTTAACCTAGGCTCTCCCCCAGGGTTTTACCCAGCCGCCTGCCATCCACCCAGAAGAGCCTCTGCCACAGGTCTGGAAATGTGTTAAGCCTGGGCAAGCTGACCCAGCTGGGAGGGTGGGTGAGAGCCCTAGCTGGAACCTGCTTATCCTGCAGTAAGGATGCAGGCTGAATAGTCTGAGTGCTGATAGTCCTCCAGTGCCCTTCCCACATTTCCACCCCAAAGGACAGACAAGGTCTCCTTCACTTGGACTGGGAAGGAATCCTAGAGTCTCAGCACAAGGAATCCTGGGATATGTCCCCGGGCCCCCTGGGCGGGTGCAGAACCAGTGAGGACACAGAAACAGAAAAAGGGATTGCAGTGGGGCCACTCGCTCCTCGACTAGGCTAACTCTCAGGTGCCAATCACGCAGGTAAACTCAGTAATGAAAACACGTCCTCCGTGCATTGCATTCTTCCTCTGTAAATCAGCTAACCCCAGCAATGAGTGGGTGTGACAGGGTGTGGTGAGGCTAGGTGCTTGGAAATTCTCCAGGGAAAAGACACTTAAGTGCAAAGTCATCTGGGGTAGGAAAATACTGCATTGCAAGGGGCTGGGAATGAACCCAGCATCCTGCACTTTGGGGCTACACAGCCTCCTTCATAGAGAGCATCATAGGCATCATCAGAGTGGAAAGGAGAATTTTGTAGTTACATGTAAAGAGAGGCAATGGCTCTGTGGATGGAGGTCTGGATAAATTGACTCCTCCAAGCCATAGAGAGTTAATGGCAGGAGACCTGAGGCCCCGGCAGTTCAGCATCCTGTGGTCCTAGTACCATTTGGAGAGGCACATCTCTGCATGGTGCTAAGGCTCTCTCTGTGTGTCGCCTTGCCCGACACACTCAATGCTTACTGCGAATAATGCACCCAGCTCAAAGCTTGTGGTGTGTAATGCAACGGGGCCTAGATACTGTCCATCTCCTAATGCCTATTCAATGTGATCTGTACCCCAGCTAATTTAGAGGCTATATTGAGGATGGTCAGATTGTGACAGGGTTTCTGTGGAATTAAATCCAAGACATATGTTGTGGTGAATTTTAACGAGGGAGATTTAGGGAACAAATCATCCCTTGAGTTTTCTGCGTTATGAACCACAGTGTCCTAAATCCTGCTGAAAAGGTCATGGGAAGCGGTAATATCTGGGTTGTGGAGAGACTGGATGTCAACTCAAACCATCACTGTTCAAATACTTTATCATCTATAGAGTGTCCGGTATGACAGCCCCATCCTGGATTTCCAGATCTAGGAACTTACAATCCTCCTTAATAATCAAGGAAAGCGATGAAGATTGCAAAGCACAAAATTTAAACTTCCCTTTATGTTTTCTGCTCCTGGACTGCCCCGGCTTAGCAATTCTGGAGTCATTGCCATAGGCAGCTGGCAGCTGGGACAAGCCGGGGGTTTGGGAATTCGCAAACTGCAGGGTGCCCATCCAATAAGGAGCTGTGTTCCTTTTCCCAGACGTGTCTAGTCCACGTGAGTGACTGCACCTCTCAAACCCCCTTTAAAAGTGTTTCCACGTTTTGTTTCTTGTGCCCTGGTTGATTTGTCCTGGTTTTATGACGGACGTGCCACCAGCAGCCACTTGTTTCCAGTGCTTTGCTTGCTGTAATTTGCAGTGATGAGGTCAGTCATCAGCTTTGCAGTTCGATTTCATGTTTTATAAAATCACGTTAGCTCTGGACAAGGCTGCTAACGGTTAGACTGCTCAGCGTAATGACTTTATGTGGCTGGGCTTCCGAGAGAGAAATCTCAGATTGCTGAAAATGGACGGTGTCTCCAGACCCTGAAGAGCAGCACTCCAATAAATGGGAATGGCTTCTGGACAGCAGCAGTTTCAGGTGCTGAGCTCTGTTCTGCCAGGCAAAGGAGTGGAGGGCGTGTGGCTCAGCTCGCAGCTCTGAACTGAATTTGACTAAGACAAAGAAGATATTTGGCTTATGTCCATGATCTGGGATCATGTCACCTGGTTTAATGGACCTTCACAGAAGGTTAGTTACTCTGTTTTACAGCTGGGGGATCTGAGGACCAGGAGAGGATGTGACCTGTCAAAGTCACATAATTAGCAATACAGCCAGGAATGAAATCCAGCGGTTCTGCTGCCCAGTCCCCTGCTCTAGCCAGGAAGTTCCCTTACTGGGGAAAGTTACGGACATTTTACCGGATACTTCCTTAGCTTTCTCCACCAGACAGTTCCAGGGGGTTTCATGTTTGTAAGATGTAGCGGCTGCTTTTGGCACTGCTGTGCTGGCCTCATGAGTTTTACCTGCTTTTATTGTCTGTGGAAGAGCCCTCCTGCTTTTCAGGATTGGCATCTTTTTGAGGTACTGTTATTCTGGGTTCTCCAGACCAAATGTACACCTGGCAGAATTGAGTCAAGTGGAGCTGCCGCGAGGGTGAAACTAGCTCTGGGTCTGAACTTCCTCCTCTGTGATGACAGGGAGGAATGGCCTAGGCCTAGTGGTCAGGAGCTGGCCTGCAACTTGGGAGACCTGGGCTCAGATCCCTGCTCTGCCACAGACCAGTGACCATGGGCAAGTCACTTAGCCTCACTGTGCCTCAGTTTCCCATCTGGACTGTCCTGCCATAGATGGCTGTTGGGAGGGGGGTACATGAGGTGTTCAGACACAGGTGACGTGGCCAGCTGAGTAGCAGAAATAGCTAGAGCTGATATTTGCATATCACTGGTGTTTGCCGGGGCTCTGTCCATGGTAAGCGGGGTCCGTCACAGCTCAGGGCAACTGTAGCTGTATTTCCATTGCCTGTCTTGGATGGAGGCCCTTCTGAGCTGGGTATTTCCAGGCTGCCTTCACTGTATTGTTCTCAGCAGAGAGACTGCCCACACCCGCTGGCTTTCTCTGTAGAGATGGTTAACGGTGTGACTGCTACAGGGTAAGGAAAAAGGCACTACAAAGAAATCACATTCTACACACACGCTGACAAGCTTACCAGACATCACCCCAACTCTCACATGGGCTCTGGCGGGGGAAGTCCTTCCACACCCCACCAAGGAGTTTCCTTTGTAGTCATGAGTTCATCACAGCTTCAGCTGAGAACGGGCCCCCTCTGCCCTTTATACATTGCATCCTCCTCACCCCCCAGGTTTTTCCTAGGAAATCCACTTTACACGCATTGTCTCAAAGTCCTTAGAAGTTCCCAACATCTCCATTAACCAAGTCCCTAGGAAAGTTACACTCAACCCTACAACAACACACAAACCATTGCATTTTGAATACAGTGGGCCCCAATGGATTAAACCTAATTCCGTATGATTTAACTTAAACTGTATTGAATTATCTTAATTCCATAGGGGTTTGTCCAGGACAGAGCCGGGGACTGTCTGTCGTGCCTTAGCCAGATGGCCATTGCCCCAGTGTCCCTAAGCCCCTTGACCTTGGCTGTGCCTGGTGCTCTATCCGCAGGACGCCCTCCGATACTCAGGCAGCGACGGCATTGGGCAGATCTCCCTGGAGTTCTACCAGAAGAAGAAGTCACGCTGGCCCTTCTCGGATGAGTGTATCCCCTGGGAGGTGTGGACCATCAAGGTCAACGTGGTGAACCTGGCCAACGAGCAGGAGCGGCAGATCTGCCGGGAGAAGGTGGGGGAGAAACTGTGCGAGAAGATTATCAACATTGTGGAGGTGATGAACAGGCACGAGTACCTGCCCAAAATGCCCACCCAGTCGGAGGTGGACAACGTCTTCGACACGGGCCTGAAGGACGTGCAACCCTACCTCTACAAGATCTCCTACCAGATCACCGACTCCCTCGGTTCCTCCGTCACCACCACCATGCGGCGGCTCATCAAAGACACGCTGGCACTGTAGGGCCTGGGGACAGGGGGCTTGCACCTTTCTGCTCCCTATCACACAGGATGACCCAGGGTGTCCTGGCAAGTAGAATCGTCTCAGAGCACGGTCCCAGTGGGTGTTTGCCTGGGCAGGCCTCTCTGCTTAGACCCCTCCCGTCCATCTGTACATTTCAGATGGAAGCTTTCTGCAGGCTGGACTTGGGCTGGCCCTTAATTGTGAATCTCCCTATGTGGGGGTCACCTGGGGCTGTGAACTGAAATGACAGCAAAACTGCTCCTTGTGCCACGTGGCCTATATTGCAGCTGGCCTGTCAGCTCCCCTCCCCCGGTCTCCCTTTCCTCCCTCAGATCCCTCCTGAAGCCCCAGTTCCCTTATGGACCCTCGTCCCTGCACTGCCTGGCACTGGGACTGCTGCTGCCTTGTTTCATCTGAGTGGGATTGTGAATTCCTGAACAGGGCCCCTCCTTTTTCTCCCCCGTCTGTTTGGAGAGGGGCTTTGCACAGGCTCGAGCAATAGAGCAGTAACCTCTGGCTGGTGGGCGAGTCAGGGATTGTATTTCTCTGCCTTTAACACTGTCTTGTTGTAACAGTGGGGAAAGAATTGCCCTCAGCAGAGCAGCTGTGACCCCCCACAGCCACGGTTAGAACAGCAGTCATAGGAGTCTCTGGGTGCCCATGAGGCAAGGCCCATCTCTGCCTCTCTCTCCGTCTGGGAAAGGGGGAGAATGCTGCTGGTGGTCGAAGAGCTCACAGGGTAAGCAGATAGTCTTTGTTAAGCTTCATAAAGCCCCTTCCCGAAAATACAGGGGCGCAGCTGGGCACTTGCCCAGCCACTAAAACCCATATTCCCTAGTCAGTCACCTTAAACCAAGTCCACGTCTGACGTGCGGCCACTGTGGTGAGAGTGGCTGCTGTGGAGAGAGGCTGGGCTGGCCGGAGACGTGAGTGCTGCGAAAGAGTGGCAGTTGCTTCCTGTTCCTGCCGGCTCTGTCCCCGCACAACGCGCTGTCAGAGGGGCCAGTAGCTACGTCTACTTGGGCACACAGGAGCTAGTGCTTGTGTGTGTTGTCCAGCGACCTCACAGCACTGCCGTCACCTTGAAAATACCCCCTTCGTTCTTCCTGGCTGCTAAAAGAAAACTGAGCAGCCAGGAGCTCTGTGTAAAGCGGGGTGAGATCTCCAAACCCTGTCTCTTCAACACACTTACACCCCCGTCCCCACTTCCTCTCTCATGGAGACTGACGCCCACATGTTTGTTACAGACACCCTGTGTTTAGAAACTGACCTGTCTGTGTTCTGTGGATCTCGTACTCTGGGCGTAATAAACACTGGCCTGGGCCTTCTCTTTCTTCCTTCTCTCGGATTGTCGAGAGTGTCTCCCCCCCGCTCAAGTAGTGTCACCTCGATCAGATCCAGGCTTTGCTGACTGCCCTGGTGTCATCCCACAGTAAAGCCCAGACCTTGGTGCGTGAGCGCTTCTGCTCCAGAGGCAGAGATGAGCGTGTGGGTTTCTCTGAGTCTACTGATAAACTGGTTTCACATCAGGGCTCTCTGTGTGCTCACGTGTTCTTACCAAGGGGCTGCGTGAGTCGTATGGGGCCTGGTGAAGTGAGAACAGTTGCCGGATGAAGGGCAGAGGAATGGGGAAAACCCGATGCTGACGGGAGGGCTCAGGGCCACAGTCCCCTCCAGAACGCTCAGGTCCCATGGGGACATCGACAGCCAGATTCTCCAAAGAGCCCTGGGCCCAATCCTTGAGAATTCTGGCCTGCATGTGGGCCCCTTCCCTGGGCAAGATCATTCCTGACGGTGAAACAGGTTTCCCAAGTTCCTCTGCTTGACCAGCCGGGCCAACAGGATACGGTGCCTCTTGCAGCCGTACCGCAGGTTGGGATCCAGCCTGGGCTGGTTGTCCCCAGGTGGTAACCAGCCACGATGGCTCCTCAGCCTGCTCTCATATGATTGTGGCAGGTCTCGGGTCAGCTCCTGGAGGATGTTTAAATCCCACTCCCACAGCCCTAGCAATGGGACTGAATGGACACAGAGTCTGGCAGTTGCTCGTGTTTGGCTGCCTTAGGAGCCCCACCTGGGACCTGGTTTTCAGGCTTGCTGAGCACCCACCAGGGAGGCCAATGGGAGCTGTGGGTGCTCAGCACCTGTGGGAGAAGTTGGACAAAAAGGTGAAATCTCCCTTATCGGTGGCTGCTGTTGAGAATTCTGACTTTAAATTCTTCTCTGCTGCCACAGCAGGGACGCAAGAGGTGGCTCTGGGCCAGTTCTGTGCCCAAGAGCTCTGGTCTCCAGAGGGGCCATGTAACCCGAGACCCCACGTTCAGACAGCCTGACGGTTAGGGGGGATGCACAGTGTGCGCTAAAAGCAGCAGGTCTCCATGAGGGGGACCACTGACCTGTAGGTACGTACTTCTCCATGGCACAGGGTAAAGGGAGACCAAAGGGCAAGGAAGCTAATACCGCAGTAATGGCGGCTGGACTTCAGCGAGCCAGCAGTGGGCTAGTCAAACGCCACACGGGGTTGAGAAGCAATTTCTTAGCCTGGTAAGCAACTGCTTCTTGGAAAGCACCTGGTGCAGCTATTTTTGAGGGTTTGAAGTCACCTGCAGGTGGGTCACAAAGTCACGGTGTGGAAGCAAGATCCGGGAGCCCAGCGATGCTGAGGAGGAAGTGGGCCGAGCCCAGGACCTGTGGCACTTCGGGAATTTCAGCTCAGGATCTGCCCTTTAGGATCAACATGGAGGCTACTGCAGCCAGCAGCAGCGGCCCCAACAGAAAAATGCAGCCGTGTGGGGCCTGGCCACAGCAGCTGTTGGACGAGCCCAGCCCTGCTAGCTAATCCTTCGGGGTGGGAAGTGACGGGTACTTGGTCCAGCTGATGCTGCGGCAGGGAGAGGGATTTACTCTGTTGGGATTGGGTCAGGGTAGGAAGATTAACAAGCTGCCTGATGAAAAACGCTCCAGCTCCTTAATGACCGTGGGGCGCGGGGGGTGAGTCCAAGCTGCACAAGAGTGTCTCCAACTTCGCCAGCGCTGCTGAGAGCTGCGGCCCCGGGGCACGTCACATCAGAGTCAAACTTAAATAAGGGCTGAAAAGTTTTCTCTTCCAACATTTCTGCTTGAAGCTCAGTGCTTGGCCAAGTTCCACGCACTCCGGTTCAGCCACGTTTCGGCTACCTGTGTGCAAAAAGAAACAGCCATAATTGCTTCCTGGTAATGGGGAAAGGGACACCCCCCCCCCCCCAAAGGAATGAAACTTCCCATCTCTGGTCAGAGGGGGATGCATGGACCAGAACAGGACAACGGTTGGCGCAAAGGTGGCACTGCGGGTGTTGATCAGGCCCTGCTCCAGGATGCACTTGCGGAGTATTTACCTGGTTTGTTCGGATGGTGCCTGGCTGAGCAGGGGGCCCGTTGGGGTAGGGGTGGTATAAACAGACTAGGAGCCTGTGTCATGATCTTTAGGACCAGGAGGAGCTGTTGAGGGTGAAATCTGGGCCTCTCTGAAGGTGGGAAGCTTTGCTGTCGACTCATGGGAGCCAGGATTTCATCTCCTGCGGCTGCACCCTATGGGGTGAACCCTCAGCTCTGGTGTCACCAAAGGACCAGCACGAAGGCCCAGAGAGGAGCCGGCTCTCCAGCTCAGCCAAGATTCCCTGGGGTTTCCCCAGAAATGTGGGGGTGCACTGCCCCTGAGGTGCAGGGTGTCTGGTTCCCAGAAGGGGCACTGGGGGGCTGTTCCCACAGAGTGGAGGGGTTTCCCCGGGGATATGGGGGGAGCAGGGTCTCTGGTTCCCTGGAGGAGCATGGGGTGGGGGCTGACTCCCCCGGGGTGGAGGGGTTTCCCCGGGGATATGGGGGGAGCAGGGTCTCTGGTTCCCTGGAGGAGCATGGGGTGGGGGCTGACTCCCCGGGGTGGAGGGGTTTCCCCGGGGATATGGGGGGAGCAGGGTCTCTGGTTCCCTGGAGGAGCATGGGGTGGGGGCTAACTCCCGGGGGGAGGGGTTTCCCCGGGGATATGGGGGGAGCAGGGTCTCTGGTTCCCTGGAGGAGCATGGGGTGGGGGCTGACTCCCGGGGTGGAGGGGTTTCCCCGGGATATGGGGAGAGCAGGGTCTCTGGTTCCCTGGAGGAGCATGGGGTGGGGGCTGACTCCCGGGGTGGAGGGGTTTCCCCGGGGATATGGGGGGGAGCAGGGTCTCTGGTTCCCTGGAGGAGCATGGGGTGGGGGCTGACTCCCGGGGTGGAGGGGTTTCCCCGGGGATATGGGGGGAGCAGGGTCTCTGGTTCCCTGGAGGAGCATGGGGTGGGGGCTGACCCCCGGGGGGAGGGGTTTCCCCGGGGATATGGGGGGAGCAGGGTCTCTGGTTCCCTGGAGGAGCATGGGGTGGGGGCTGACCCCCGGGGGAGGGGTTTCCCCGGGGATATGGGGGGAGCAGGGTCTCTGGTTCCCTGGAGGAACATGGGGTGGGGGCTGTCTCCCCGGGGGGAGGGGTTTCCCGGGGATATGGGGGGGAGCAGGGTCTCTGGTTCCCTGGAGGAGCATGGGGTGGGGGCTGACTCCCGGGGGGAGGGGGTTTCCCGGGGATATGGGGGGGAGCAGGGTCTCTGGTTCCCTGGAGGAGCATGGGGTGGGGGCTGACTCCCCGGGGTGGAGGGGTTTCCCGGGGATATGGGGGGAGCAGGGTCTCTGGTTCCCTGGAGGAGCATGGGGTGGGGGCTGTCTCCCCCGGGGTGGAGGGGTTTCCCGGGGATATGGGGGGAGCAGGGTCTCTGGTTCCCTGGAGGAGCATGGGGTGGGGGCTGTCTCCCCGGGGTGGAGGGGTTTCCCCGGGGATATGGGGGGAGCAGGGTCTCTGGTTCCCTGGAGGAGCATGGGGTGGGGGCTGACCCCCGGGGTGGAGGGGTTTCCCCGGGATATGGGGGGAGCAGGGTCTCTGGTTCCCTGGAGGAGCATGGGGTGGGGGCTGACCCCCGGGGTGGAGGGGTTTCCCCGGGATATGGGGGGAGCAGGGTCTCTGGTTCCCTGGAGGAGCATGGGGTGGGGGCTGACCCCCGGGGTGGAGGGGTTTCCCCGGGGATATGGGGGGAGCAGGGTCTCTGGTTCCCGCTGCAGGGAGATGCGTGGTTCCGAGCCATGGGGCTGGAGAAACAATCCTTTCCTGACATCACTTAAACCCTCCCCGCCCGTCACTGCCCTGCAGCCTCAACCCTGCTGGGGCTGCGGGCAGCGCGGGAGCTCCTGGCCGGGAGGAGCAGACGGGGCAGCTGCGGGGATTTGCCCCGGGTCCGCGAGGCCTGGCTGCGGCGGGCACGGGGTGCGCTTTGCCAGAGCCCCCCCCACACTCTGCGGGGCCCCTCGCCTCTCCCGGCCTGAGACATGAACAGCAGCGCCCCGAGCCCCAGCCGCGCCCCGCGGGCCGCCGCCCCGACGCTGGACGCGCTCCTGGGCGCCTGCTGCGCCGTGGGGAGCGGGGGCGCGGGGGGCGAGCCGCGGGGCCGCTCCATGGCGCAGGTCGCGGTGCTCTGCGTGCTCTGCCTCACCGTCCTCTTCGGCGTCTTCTTCCTGGGCTGCAACCTGCTGCTCAAGTCGGGGAGTCTGGTCAGCCAGGCGGGGAGGGACCGGAGCCCCGCCAAGGAGCTGGAAGCCGGGCTGGGCACCTAGGGGACCCGCCCCGGCCCCCTTCCGTAGCCACCAGCGGAGCTGGAGCCTGGAGCCTCGGCGGCAGGTGCTGGGGGTGTCTGGAGGGTACCGGGACACATTTGAGGGGAGGGCTGGAAATCCAGGCCCCCCCTTTTCTCCTCTCCCTGCTCGGCCGGGCCCCCAGCCCTAGCAGGGGCGAGCGCCCTCGCCCGAAGCTGGCCCCTTCCCCTCCCTGGACGTCCGTCTGCGAAGCTCGCCGGGCGTTTTCCGAGCCGCACCCGGGAGGACAAACGAGCTCCCGGGGGCTCCAGGCAGCCCTCGCTGAGTGATGGTGTCACCGGGACCGTTCAACGCGCCGCGGACCGAACCGGCTCCTGCTCCTGCCCCGGCCCCGAGAGAGTCTTTTTGCCCCAGCCGCAGATCAAGACAAACCGCAGCCGGAGCCTGGAAACCCGCCGCGCCTGCCGAGGGCCGAGCTGCTGCCGGGGGCTGCACATCACGGCTCGTTCCTCGCCTAAAATGGACAGAGCCAGGTGGCTGCGGATCCCAGGCCGGCGGCTGCGGCCGTGGCTGGTGGGGAATTGAGTGTGAACGGTTTGGGCTCCAGGCCAGGGGTCCTTGTCCCTCCCTCCGCTGTTCCGTTCAAAATCGGTATTAAACTAAATGGAAACCAGCTTCAGTCC